ACAAACTGTCGAACACAGTCAACACAAGCTGTCAACTCACAGAAAAGCCCGCCTTGAGCCTGCGATAAAGGATGCGCAAAAGCTTGCGCAGAACGTTTTTCCGCCTTGAAGACCACAGCGATTCTTGCTCCTCTTAAATTACCTGAAATTTGTCCCAACAACGAAGGACGTCTACCCACTGACGGGACCAGGAAAAGTATCCTTTTTGTACGTGGGTAACCACCATCAATGTCCATAACTAACAAGGAAAAATAATCTACAAGTAAACGTTTTGTCAAAAATTTCTGATTAAGAAATTTTGACATTTATCCAGCTGCCTGCTATGTAAACAAAGAGATGTTTGTGGTTCGAAAAGTGTTACCTTAGTTCCACAGTGCCTAATGAGTCCCTGGCAAAAGATCTATTAATATTATTGTCTACTACACCTGTACACAGGTGTGTGCACTGTTCTTTCCAAAAAGGTTTATATATACAGTAACTGGCGTTGTGCTGTTGACAAATCATTTTCATGATATAAAACCTTCACCTTTCAAACCGTCAGTGGAGCTGGTTTCTCCTAGCCAAAAGAACCAATTTGCACTGTGTTTAGATTCTATCTCATGGAGCACCCTGCAGTATTGGTTTATAATAATTCATTAATATCTCCCTTGAATACATGCAACTGCGTTTGCATCATCACAGAAGGTCTTACATGCAAATCAACATGTCTTAATCAATCAAGTCTTACATGCAAATCAACTGTTTTAAATATTCTTTTTTTAACAACGTAATTAGTTACTGGAACAATTTACCTAGTAATGTTGTTGAAGCCGGTTCCCTTGAACTTTTTAAATGTAAACTCAAATCCTTTTTAAAGTTGTAATTTTTATTGTAATTTTTATTGTGTGTTGTTTTTAGGAGAGTTTTATTCATAGGGTTAACCTCTAGACTCTCCCTTTCAAATTCATGTGGTCATTATGAGTTTGAATAAACATGTATGTTATGTTATGTTATGTTATGTTATGTTATGCCTCAACAAATCTCTTCTCTTCTCATCAATCCTTTTCTTTTTGTTTATCAGGGTAACAATCATTCCCTTGCAGTCTTCATGTGCCTGCCAGCGTAACTGTAATAAATAACGAAGGGAGAGTAAGGGAGTAAATAAATTATGGTTAATATTTGTCTATTGTTATTTTGATTTGAACTGTTAAGAAAATTATAGGTGAATAAGCCTTCCTTTGTTAGCAATATTAGCTCTTCAAAGGAATGGTTAAAAAATGACAGCATGCACGTTTGGTCACTTGTAGACTGCAAGAGATACCAGCAATTTGCAACTTCGTCTGAACGTGAAGCTCTTCTGCGTGTTGGTCCTATCATGAGAAAAATACATTCAATTGCAATTTAAACATTGATCTCTACTTTATCAGTAACTGCATTGAAAATATGTCCACATTTTTATTGGCCCTGAGTCAATATTTCTGTCTCATTTTAGAAAAAAATCAGGATTGAATCGCCTTTTACTGATGCACTGTTTGGTACCTGGCAGTTATTTTGTCAGGAATACCTGTGGTGTTCAGGGTTTTAAACTGGCTCTAAAAACCTCTATTTATTTTTGTGATGAGACAAAAAGAAGGCGAAAGAGAACAGGTACATATACGTGCTGAACTTTAGAGCAGATTCCTTACCTCCCAGGCCAAAAGGAAAAAGGTCTTGCTTGACTGTTCCAGTTATATCAGTGTAGGTGTTGATATTATAGATAAATCAAACAATGTGACTGAGAGAGTGGAATGAGAGTGAGAATGCTGTGAGAGGGACATTGATGAATGGATGATAAGAAACTATCTTAAACTAAACCAGGACAAAACGGACCTTGTAGTCATCAGTTCCAGATTCCATCCTATGCCTGACAGCGGTCACATTACTGTTGGTTCTGAGTGCATTGCACCTCGTGACTCTGTTCGTAATTTAGGGGTTCAGTTTGATAGCATATTTAGTTTTGAGGAGCACATTAAGAACATTTGTAAATCATCATTCTATCATTTGAGAAATATTGCTAAAATCCGCAAGTACTTAAGCCAAGATACATGTGAAATCTTAGTCCATGCATTTATTAGTTCGAAACTTGATCACTGTAATTCCTTATTACATGGCCTTCCTAAGTATCTGTTAGCTAGACTACAGGCAGTTCAGAATGCTGCAGCTCGTGTTGTCAGACTGACACCGAAGCATGTTCATATAACTCCTATTTTAATTAATCTTCATTGGTTACCAGGTGAGTTTATTTAAGTCCTTTTATTGGTATACAAGGCCCTTCATGGCCTTGCACCTTCTTATATTTCTGACCTTTTGAATTTTAAAACATACTCTAGGTCATTGCGTTCTTCATGTAAAGAATATTTAGTGGTTCCAAGAAGCAGATTAAAAGCATATGGAGACAGAGCTTTCTCTATTGCAGGACCTAAATTGTGGAACGATTTACCTCTAGAGATTAGGAAATGTGCTTCAGTGGCAACTTTTAAGCAATCCCTTAAAACTTTTTTATTTAAGTTAGCATATAGGTTATGAGATTCCTTTTGTTTTAAGATGTTTTTGATTTATATAGTAGACAACTTAGGCTATATTTGAATTATATTGTATATTGTAGATATTTTATAATTTAAATTTTTTAATATTCTGTTTTGTAATTAGGTAGCGCTTTGGACAATTATTGGATTTTAGCGCTATATAAATAAAATTATTATTATTATTATTATTATTATTATTATGAGCAAGTTTACAATAAAATTTCGTCAATGAAAAAATAAAGCTTGATCAAGACATTCCTTCTAATTGATTTTTCATACAGAGGAGAGATGTGTAGAAAAAGGTGAAATTGCTTAATTTATAACTAAACCTTTTGGATGATTCGAAATTTCCACCAACTATTTTTCTAGTCGCCTGTTTAGGCCCATTAAGGATACGCTCAATATTTTTATGCTAATAACAGCTAGAAGTCTTATGTTAAAAAAAACTAGATTCGTTATATGCATGGATGTAATTTGCGGGGGTGTTTACCTCTTTTCCCTTTTCCATGAAAAGGGGCACCTTGAAAGAATCCTGTAAGACATGGAAAAAATTTCAGTGAGCATAAATTTTCAAGGAGGATAACAATATGTTGATTTGTTTTGTTGCAGTTATGGCTACAATGTGATATACAACTATTTTTGTATTTTTTTTATTTGGTTAGCAGTAGCTTTTTTCTTTCATTTTTTTTTTCAGTAAGTGTAATTATTAACATTATTATTTTTTCAAGAGCACACTGACCTTCACTATTTTTCTCTTTTTTTTTTTCCCTTTCTCTAATGATCCTCATATAAATTTTTCTCATACATACAATCCTGGTGAAAACGTTTGGGACACTCCGTGTTTTAGGTGGCGAAATGTAATTCAAGTTGACCCCCCTCCCCCCTGAATAGTGTTGGGTGTTACAAGTCAAACACATTTGGAATATCTTGTACACTTTAAGGACTTCAACGTTTTTTAGGGGGGGGTGGGGAAAAAATCTTGTTAAGGCCGTGCTTATGAGTGTGTATCGCAGGTTAGCTGCAAATTCCATACAAAACCAACTGAAAAAGGGGAGGTGTCCCAAGAGCTTTTGGCCGGGATTGTAGCTTTGCAGTAAGCGAAGTCAGGCTTACTTCTATTGTTATGCTTCGACGTTTTAAAACGCGAGTATAATTATGATCAAATGTCCATCAGGCTTTTAGTTAACTTTACAGCCTTTGCTGTAACGTATTTCAGTTCAAGTAATATTGATTTCATCCTTCACAATATATCGTTGTAAACAATAAAACTCATGAACTATAAACTTGAATATATCAGTCATTATATTTTAACTATTAAAACATTAATTTCACGTAGATCTACAATCCTGTCCAAAAGGTCTTGGGACACCTGCCCTTTTTCACTTGGTTTTGTATGGAATTTGCAGGTAACCTGCGATACACACTCATAAACACGGCCTTAACAAGATTCCCCCAACCCCACCCCCCAAACAAAGTTGAGGTCCTTTAAATTGTAAAAGGTGTTTGACTTGTAACACCTAACAATAGGGACCTTTTGCATCGCAGTTTCTGGGGAGACGGCAATGCCATTGACGGAGGAGGACTAAGAATAGTTGACACCGTTCCCGCCAAAATCAAAAATACTTTAGCTGACACCTTCTGTGCGACGGGGTAAACATAACACAAATCAACACGAAATTTAGAGTGAGGAAAACGAATTTAGTGATAGATGGCAAGTTTTAAAGAACTCTGTGATCTCCTGGTGACATGTTATGACAGTAAGATCTGGGGCGGATCCAGGATTTGACGAAGGGGGGTTCGGATAAACGCCCGCCGAAGGCGGTAGCCCCTAGGGGGGTCCGGGGGCATGTTCCCCTGCAAAATTTTTAATTTTAGGGCCTCTGAAATGCGATTTCCAGCGTTTTCAGGGGCAATTTGAAGTGGCTTAATTGCTCTAAAGTCACCTCCATTTTTGTGCTAACTACAGTAGTTTAAAGGATGGATTTTCTTAACACTGACAATAATCGAGACGGATAAACATTTTAAATTCATTAAAATTAAAAATTCATGATTCCTCAAAAATGGGATCAGCCAGCAACATTCTCCGGGGTTGCTGTTCTGCAAATTTCTGGACAACAGCATCATAATCCACGGGTTTCTTGTGGTGAATATTCATGAGCGCCAAGCCAGACAATCTTTCTGTCGTCATGGTGGTCCGCAGGTAGCATTTAACCAGCTTTAAGGTGCTGTTTGCCCGCTCGTTGTCAGCTGAAGTCACTGGAATAGTGCATGCAATGCGCAGCAAACAGTGGATGTTGGGGAAAATGTCTGCATCACAGGCCTAAGATAACAAAAAAGAAATAGTTCAGTTTAATTTGAAAGGCGAACATTAAAAATCAAAAACATTAAGTTCTGTACCTCTAATGCAGGTTGAAGTGCGTCTGGTTGGCTTCTCTCTGACTGCCACTTTCTTGTCCATCAATGGTACTCGACATCCAGAGTTTGAGGGTTTGGCAGGTCTGAGCTGTACATCTCTGAAACCGCATCAATGTTTGCATCTGTGCGTGACACGGTGATGCTTGGAACTAGACCAAGTAACTGCACAGCAGTCTTCTGAGTATTACCAAATCTAGAACAATTCAAAATATAACCACTGATCTGAATTTGCGTATTTGTACTCTGTTGTACTTTGTGTAGTGTGACTGTTATAACTGGAGAAGAGTAAAGGAACAGCTATGTAATCTGATCACTTTAAAGGGAAACCCGTCCTGAAGGTCGTCTTATTTTGCAAACAACGTATCTAAAATGTCATGAAGACCTGATTAAAACATATTACCTTAAAGACATCTCTTGTGTAATATGGTCAAGAAAAGGAACAAACAGATTGCGACGGTAATATTCCTCAGGAGTGTCATGGGGTGCATTTGCCCGGTGCTGCTGTCTTGAGGCTGTTCTCGGAACGCCGGGGTCGGTACCTAGGTCTGAACTGAGCTCGACAGCATTAGAGTACCATCTTTTGAACACAGCTTCAGCCTCTTCTCTCTATTCGTTCAACTCTTTCTCGGTCTCTGATATCATACAGTATGCTTTCACAATGTCATTGGACTTCTTTTGCAGTTTAATGCTAATCGGCTTAATGACTGCCAAAGTTTTCATGGTGACTATTAACGCGATGAGAAACTGGAAAGAACAACGTGTGGTAGAAGCCATTTGCCTTCTCGAGAGTCTCTCTGTCCCAGTTCCAAGGGGTTTCGGTACTGTACTGTTTGTGCTGCTGTTCGTCCAAAATAACTTCAAAGGTTTTAACAATCAACGGAAGTAACAGTGCGAACGTTTCGTATGCCTCGTGACGTTCAACCCAACGAGTACGGCAGAGGTCGCGGATCTTAGTTCTCTGCGAATCCGGCTGATCAACGCTGATTACTTTCTTTAAGCACCTCTGCTGCTTTGGAGGATAATTGAAAAATTGTGAAATCTCCGTTATAGTGCCAGCCATGTTGCGAACTGATGGTAAGCTACATGCTTTTACAATAACGAGATTCAGTACATGGGAATTGCAGTGCACATACAGGGCCTTGGGGTTTTTCTGTGCTATTAAGCCTTGCACTCCCCGTGCTTGTGCAGACATATTCGAAGCACCATCGTAGCCTTGGCCTCGGCAGTTTGAAATGTCCAGACCCCACTGGTCCAACTTCTCCAAGATCAAGGAAGAAATTACTTGACCAGCTATTCGATCGGTGCATCGAAAGTCTACAAACTCTTCGCGGATCACGCACTCTTTGTCGACAAATCGTAAAACCAAAGACAACTGTTCGAGATTAGCATTGTCAGTGTCATTGTCAGCATTAGCATTGTCAGCATTGTCATTGTCAAGTGACTTCATCGCAAAGAATTGAGAAGTACTTTGCTTCTTTGATTTCTTGAATTATCGAATCCCTTATGTGGTCTCCGATCAGCATTATGAGTTGATTCTGTATTGTTTTACTAGAATATCGTGCATTCGCGCTGCAGGTCGCTAGGTGGTTCTTTAAAACTTCATCGCCAGAGTCAATACGTAATTCCAGCAAAGCTAGAAAGTTGCCCCTGTTTCCATTTTGATCGGCAGTGCTGTCATCTCTATGGCCTCTCAATGCAATGCACTGTTTGCCGCAAAAATGAACGCACTTTGCAACACTTTTTACAATTTCTCTGTTTCTCTTAATCGTGCGCCCGCGTTCGGTTTCAATTTGAACTTGGATGTTTTTTTGCGGATTCCGACTTGTCGTGAGAAAATTATCGTATGCAACCATGACATCGATGTGGTAACGATGTTTCTCATGTTCGCCACACACTTTGCTTACTTTTGTCCACCGATTAAACGGAGTGGTTACTAAGGTACCTAAGCTTTCGCGTATGGCAAATAAAACGCATGGGAGACAGAAACCACCGTCACATTCGTTGCTGTAAACGAGCCAAGGATAACGTTGCTACCAGGATCTTTGGAAAGACCGATTACAACCATTCATAAAAACTTTAGGGAAAGCATAATTATCCCCTGGTCGAAAATGGTTATTTATGATGTTGAGTTTCTCAGCTTGATTTAGAGACTTGAAAGCTGTTTTCTGACGGAAAAGAGCACCAACATCAACGTCATGAACCGAACCATGACAAGCAGGATCATCTCCATCTTTATCAGTCTGTGACGCTGCAATGAAAGCAAATCGCCATTGTACGACCTTTTTAAAATTATTTTAATACCGTTTTGACATACGTTTAGAACAGGACAGGTAACAGAAATCGCACAATTTTTACAATACAACTAATGTTCTTTTTCCTCGTAGGGAAAGCCAGGGTGTTTGACTTGCACAATATTTCTGTGGACTTCTAGTTTAAAGAGTTAAATAACCCAACTTGACATGTTTAAAATCAGTGAAAAATCGTTCCCACATATTTGGGTGATCCCAGTTAGGGGAAAAAGAAAATTCGGAGAGTTGGCAAT